GAGTACAAAAAATGCAACAAAATTCTACTAATTTTGATATTACACCAAAGAGACTATATTTATTCTCAAAAGCTGAAAATTGTACAACCAAAAAACATGATAAATATGGTCTTCTTAACTTGATAAATAAAAATGTCAAACCGAATTATTATAAAGGATTCTTTTCCAATATATAAGACTAATGTTTAAGTATGGAGTTACACAGATTTTTATATACGGTTGATTCATTTTTATCGTGATTGTTATTTTTTTTTTATTAGAAAAAGATGTCGCATCCACCAAAAGGTTATTAGAGACGGAACAAAATATAAAAAACAAAGTTAAACACCTACAGATTATACAAAATGTTTATGGATCTAAGATAATTCACTATATTGTTACAGGAACAGTTTTGACGTAGAGCCTGTAGTAGAGCGTTTGGGATCTTGTAGCGCTGTCTTTCTTGGTCATATTTACTAAAAATTGTTAAAAAATGTTCGACTGTTAATCGGACGTTACACTGATCACATATAGGTGGATTTTTCTTTGTGAAAAGGTAGGAGTACGTTAATCTGGTATTTCCTAGGCGTAAACGAGCAACCGCAATTTGTTCTCGTCTATTGAGCGACGATGGAAATCACTGAGACACATTATTGTTGATTTTATTTAGATTGGAATTAGTTTGAGACCACTCATTTTGCGACAAACACCACACTTTATTTTTAAAATAAGCTTCTAAGTCACTAGAAACACACTTATCTATCGGCTTTGACAACTCACTTAAAATTGCCTCTCGTGCAGTCCTGTCAGCTTCTTCATTTCCTGTTATTCCGACGTGTGAGGGAACCCATAAAAATTGGACGCTTCTTCCTTCATCTTAAGAAATAATAATATCTGGAGAATATTTAGATAAAAGAAGCTGTAGCATAGGGAGACGATGAAAAAATCCATCTATGTTCCATTGAAGTATCGAGTTGAATGTTGTTAACAGATTCGGAGTTAGATGATACAAAACAATTGTCTACAGAAGAGTCACTATCTAAGTCAGAAATCTTTTTCTCTAAATGGTTGCTTTTTGTAGATCTATCATTTGCATATTGATAGCTGCTTTGTAAAAGATGGAGTAAACCATCCATATCAGTTGTAAATTCTTTGATGACGCTAATAGTGTCGGAGGAGCCTTGGACATTATCAACCAGTAAGGATAATTGGTGGTAATTTAAAACGAATGGTTGGGTATGATTATCAATGAAATTTTTAAGAGTTTCCCGTGTAGATGGGACTTTAGATGAGTGCGGTTTTTTTGGTTTAGAGGGTTTGGGTTTTGCAAACAGATTTTCTGATGAAATTACTGAGTCTAAAGGAGGCGTGACGATCTCACCAATACTGCGTTTTATGGGAGAACTTGCGTTTTCGTAAATTCTATTAGAGTTTTCACTTAGATGTTGTGGCTTTATTACATTTGAAAGTACTGAAGCAAACTCATTGGTAGTGACAGAACTCGAGCTTGAAGTTTTATTTGTAAGATTGGTTGAAATGGTTGTTTCAGAAAAATGTCTTGATGTATCAGTTTTATTAGAATTTTCTGAAGTTGTATCTAATGAAAAAGGAGCTGATAGATTGGAGGATATTGCTTCCGAAGTTTGTGAAAACGGTATTGCTACTGAATGATGTTGATTGAAAGTGTTGTTATGAGTAGGAGCGTTAGTAATTTCTTTGTCATGGAGATTTGTAGGTGTAGGTGATATGCTTGGATTTTATAATGGATAACTTGATGACTGCTGGGTGTTTGGTACCTTGTGTAGTATACTTGTTGTAGCTGTTTGATTTGGTACTTCATTGTTTGACTCAATATGAGTTGATTCCGTTACTGAATTGTTATTGCATTGTTATATGTGTCCTGTATTTTTGCAAATAAAGCAGTTAAGTGTACCTTGTGACAAAAATATGCGGTAAGGTGTTTGATCGAAATTTATTAGAATAGAATCTGGAATTGGTGATGTTATAGGACTTATATAAACTTGCCTCCGAAAGCTCAATATCTGACTATATTCGGGGAGAGTCGAGCTAATTTTCAAAAATGATATTGGAGAAATAAGCTTTAAACCGATATTCTGTAATTCTTCAACTAATACTTGATGAGGAATTGACGGGCAGACTCCAGACAAGACTAGTCTTTCTGCTGGAGAGACAAGTCTTCGTGCTGTTACAACTTCGCCGAGTACTTCTATAGAGCTATATTGTGTCATGAATTTATCTACTACGGTTTTGTTTGCCAAATACATGCAGATTCTATTATAAGATAATCTAGATGAAAAAATAATATTTTTTGGGTTGATGATTGTGCCTAAAGGAATGAGATAATCCTGCAATTTAGCATTATCGATGCAACTAAATACAATTGCTTGGGTCTTACTCGGAAAAGAGTGTGAAGCGGCTGATGCATAACTGTTTATGATATTCGAACGTTAATTTACTGGACTGGTTAGATCGGAAGGTGTGTTTACATTCTGTGAAGTCATTTTAAGGTATGGCGGCGAAGGTCTTACTCCGACTCTGGTAAGTGAAAAACTAACCGCATGCTACTATAAGGTACTTATAACAGCTAACCTCACAAAATGATTGTACGGTAGTAATATATTTATTATTGACGTTTTCTTTTCACACTAATAAAATAATAATTACGTATAGATAACTTACGTAGTAGTATCTAGTAGATAAACACTTTAATTTTAAAAAACTATTTAATAAAACCACTTGTTTTTATTAAAAACTAGGAGTACGATATCAGTACAACTTAAATATACCTTGCCAGGGCCGGTCTCCGTGATTTGTTATTGTTTCTAGGTGTTGATTTAACTAATAATGTTTAATAAGTAAAAATTATGAACAAAATGTGTTTTTTTTTATTACGTTTCACAAACGAAAACTTTTATTTAGTTTTAGAATTAACTTTTGTTATTTTTATATACTGTCATCTTTTATTTATTTATTTTTAAGAATTCTACTAAAACCTTTATACATTCATGAAAAAAACATTGAATACAGTGTTTGTTTCTTTGGTATGTGTCCTCTGATTTTAAATGCTTCTGATGACATAACAAATATTTTTTTATACAAGAGACGTATATGTTCCCTTTCAGGAAAATACTTATGCTGTATTTCAATACAATATCAAATACAGTTTAAATTCGTAGGTGGTCCGATAAGTAATTATCTTCATCGCCTGATGGCGCCACTATCTCAAGAGAAATCTACTATCGTCTAATACATTCTCACAGACGACAAATGTCAAAATTTTAGCCTAATCGGAATCGAAATATTGTTTTGTTCCGACCGCGTCTAAAAGCGGGCGTGTTAGAGGATTTTAGAAAAATTGAAAGACAGTTTCAAGTTTCCACATCGTTTCGTAACCATTGCCGAAACATGAACCCTTTGGTGTAGACCAGGGACTAAGAAATAGTCGAAACAGTGGCAGCACCCGGCGAACGTATTCCGAATTTGACTGTCCTATCGACCGGAAAGGTAATGTCTACCATTTTTTGGGGTTTTCCTATGTCAACTATCTAGAGAAGGACAAAACCGTCACCGGGCTCTACTACGCTGAATTATTGGGCCGACTCGTCTCCAAATTGCAGAAAAAACAACCCCAATTTGCGAAGGAAAAGTGCTCTTCCATCATGTTCATACCTCCGCCGTTAACATGGCGAAATTGGTCGAATTGGTCTAGACACTGTTGCCTTATCCACCCTATTGTTTAGATTTGGCCCGTGTGACTTCTTTTTAAACAGACTTGTTTTTAAATTTAAAAAAGATAGGTACTCGCCGGGCAGAAATTCAAGTCGAAACAGAAGGTCATCGCCGCTACGTGCGAATATTTTGTAGAATTATAGAAAAACTAAAATTGGACTATATTAAAAAATAAATCGCCACTTTTCCAAAATTTTCATTTTTTTTTTGTAGCCTATGTACTTATCGGACCACCCTAGTATCTACCTTTCTAACAATATTTAACTTGCATATAAATGATATAATAGAAAAGAGAAATGAACGTAAAATAAAGGTCAAAACTTTGCGTAGCTAACCTGTAAAACCTATGATTTTAGTTTGTGGCTCTTTTGTAGTGAAGTAGCGACTATGTGGAACATAAGCTTTCAAAAAATTTTTTTACCCATTATGTTATCTCTTATCTGACCCTGACATTATTTTGGCGCCGTTTCGGCAAGGTCACACTTGCCGAAACGTCGTCAGTTCAGGAGAACTCCTAAAACATCAAGAAGCAGAACTAATCTGACTTGACAGTGGCAAGTGTGACCTTGCTGAAAAGTCGCCAAAACAATAACCAAAACTATTTAACGTGGAGTCAAACCCGGAAAACAACTGAAACCACATGTAGTTCCCGCGGAAATTTCAAATCCAATATATATATATATATATATATATATATATATATATATATATATATATATATATATGATATATTCTAAGGCTTTTATATTCTTTGTCAAAACTTATATTCCACAGTTATAATTAAAATATTTTTTAAAATAATTTTATAGGGGTTTAAAAGGATGCTGGCTTGAGCACATATTTATAAATATTAGGGAAATAAGTCTTCTACTCCCAATCGGTTATAGGTTTTATTAAAGCTATGTGTAATTGTATTGTTTTGAATATTTATTTATATATACTATTTATTTTAACCTCAGTTTCTTGAGGGCCTAAGATCCTGTAAAAGTTTATAAATAGCGAAACTGGTAGCCCATTCTCTTTTTTCAACTTTAATAAAACCTATAACGTATTGTGAGTGAAAGACTTATTTCACGAACATTCATGAATTCTATAGGTATTTTAGTGTAAGTCCTATTTTCGTTTAAGCAGATTAATATCTACTAACATATAAAAAAATTACATTTTATCACATACGATGCAAAATAATACATCATTTACATAGAAGGATTTCATAAGAAATCCTAAATTAATGACATATTCTATTATTCCATTTCTTACTTGCAAAAACTCAACAAATAGCCCATTAATATTAAATGTCCAAAGTATTATATTAATCGCAGTTATCACTCATTAGGGTTCTCGTCATTTGGCACTCATTTACTTCATGTGAGATTTTATCCAATCCGAGAACTTGGCAGCGTCACAAAACGCTACGTATCTGGTTGAGAAATCACATTTTCCTTCTTTATTATAGGGAATAACCGATGCTACACCTCTTAAATAGTATGCTCCGTCCATGGATATGAAGAATCCTGCACCAGTATCTCCTGTGCAGGGACCTGTCGGTTGTTTTTCACTACTTTCTGAATAAAAAATACGATATTACATATCGATATCGATACGATAAATGAGATATATATATATATATATATATATATATACATACATATATATATATATATATATATATATATATATATATATATATATATATATATATGAAAGACAAGGTAGTCCAAAGTTTTTTGACTAGTTTGGAAAAAATATATGTAAATACTTTTTTCTTTTGGGTGTGGTAGTCAATAAAAAATAGAGCTTTGCTAAGGCGTACTATTTATTCTGAATTCCGAGCTTTCGGTGGTTATTTGCCACCTTTATCAAGGTCTACAATGAAAATTACTGTGTTATAACATTAGGCTGATGTAATATAAAAGTTATAAAAACTTACCAGAAAGTAAGATTCATAGCATATAAAACACAACGTTAAATAACATGATGTGATCTGAATTATTGAAGGCATTAAAAATTTTAAAAACTTTAAAATACTTAAAAATTAAAGAACATGTTACAAAGTTTAAAAAGTAAAAAGTAAGACGACATGTTTGACAAAAAACAGTCGTCTTCGCAGGTTTGAATTCAGTCACATCTCACGAACAGAAAGAGGTAGTAGGAGGAACTATTGTTGTTTAAATAGTTCGATGTAACTACAAAAAACAAACTTTCAAACTGATGTCTAACAAAATGCCGTTTGTGATTTTAGGTACTACCAACCATGTTACCAACTTAGAATTGAGAGGGAAATTTAAAAAAAGGTTTTATTATTGTCAAAAAATAAAAAGAAAATAGTATTTAGTAAATAGGTTTAGAAAAAACAAACAAACAAAACAAAATGAACATCTGAATAATAACTGAAGTTAATCATGATAATTATAGAAATTAATAATGGAATTTACGAAACATGAAGCACTCTGAGATGCAGAAAACCCTAGTCAAAAGTCAAAATAAAATTGTAAATTTTGCTAAGATTCTGGATCTCAGATCTTTTATTCAGATTGTTGTTATCACTCCTGCTGATATGTACCATTTCTAAGAATGTTCTCTTAAATTTTATTTTTCTCTCTGGCTAATATTTTAACATTGTTGAAATCTATCTTATGGTCTAGATCGATAGTGTGTTCTGCCAAAGCACAAGTGGGTTTATTTAGTCTACAGTCACTCTTATGAGAAATGATACGACTAGACAGATTTCTTCCAGTTTCACCAATGTACGTGGATGGACATTCAGTACATTGAATGCAATAAACAACATCTCTTGACTCTAAAGTAGTTAGGGGTTGTTTTATTTTGCTATATAGCTGACGTATGGTTTTGATGTTGTTGTTAGCTATTTTGATGTTCTTAAATTCTTTGAAAATTTTAGTAAGTTCTACGGTTAGTTTTGGAATATACGGAAGGGCATAAAAATACACACTTGTTTGAGAAGAATTGTTTTGTGCTGAGGGCACTGATTAAGAATTAGTGAGAATGTTGTTCCTGTTAACAAATGGAACATTAAAAATTAATTTATTAATCAGTCTTAGAGGATATGAATTTTCAACAAAAATATTCCGTAAGAGGTTAAGATCATGTTGGAGATGATCTCGATGTGATAACCTTTTGACACGTTCTTTCATTGCTAGGACTAGGTTGGTTTTCATTCTAGGAGGATGATGGGAATGGTAGCTTATGAATCTATTGCTACATATAGGTTTTCTATACCATTGTGTTTTCACAACATTATCCTCACATCTATGCAAACGCATGTCAAGGAAGGGCAAAGATCCCTCCCGCTCTTCCTCGCACGTGAATTGCAAGTGTGGGTTTTGTTGGTTGAAAACATTTAAAGTAAATTGTATGGAGTCTGATGGTAGTGCCAAGATTAAGTCATCCACGTATCTTTTTATAAAAGGTATTTCAAAATTGATTTGTTGCAAACAATCTTTAATCAAATCGTCTAAGACATAATTACAAAGAATTGGTGAAATGGTGGACCCCATTGGAGTACCGAAGACTTGTTTGTAGTAACAGTCATTAAAAATAAAAACATTAGAGTCAAAAACAAAAGAAATGAGTTTTTTGATATTAGATAAGTTAAGAGTTGTGTGCATTGATATGTCATCCCAGTGTTTCTCAACACTAACCAAAATTGTTTGTAAAGGTAAATTAGTAAACAAAGACAGTACATCAAAACTAACGAGCTTATAATTGATAGGTAATTTTAAGTTATTAATAAAAGAACTGAAACTGAAAGAGTCCTGAATGCAGAAATCATTGTTACTGTAGGTTTCTGTGAGAATATTGGTTAAAAAACTTGCTATGGGGCCGTTAGGTGTACCTATTGAGGAAACTATTGGTCTCATAGACAAAGTAGGTTTATGAATTTTTGGAAGTGCATAAAATCTAGGAGCAATTGAATTATAAATTTTCAAAGTTTTCCCAACTGATTGATCTATTTGATTCTCCTTTACCAAATCAGAAACTAGTTTATTAGCCTTTTGTTGCAGAGTACACACAGGATTGTTGTTTAACTTTTTATAATATTTAGTGTCTGTTAATAAGTCTTCACATTTTTGTATATAGTCCCTAGTGTACATTGCTACAGTGACATTGCCTTTGTCGCTCTGAACAATCTTGATCTCAGGGTGATGTTTCAAAAAAGTTTTGCATTTAATGTAGTATTTATTTAAAAAGTGGTCTTTTTCATCTTTGTTGAGAAAGTTCGTGATTATATTAGTGCATTTGGACCTTAGAATGTCCTTATCGACATTCTCAATTGGTCTTAAAATGTTCTCAATGTCTGCCAACAAAGAGGAAACTTTGAAATCTTTTTTGTTAGGAAGCAAAGCGAATTTAGGGCCTAAGGCCAACAACTTTTTAACTTCTACAGGAAATTCTAAGTCTGTAAGGTTTTTAAACCAACTCTCCCTGAAATCAATACTGTCAAAACTATCTAATCTGAACTTATTAAATTTATTGATATTAGTTCTCTTAATTTTATGAAAAAGATTGTTATAAATTATCTGTTGTCTACGTTTTAAACTCAACATATGTGTGATAATTAAGTATAGATTTTGATTTGGCTTGGAGATCTTTTAGCTTATTTTCAAAATGATTAATATCAGCAAAAGTAATTTTGATTTCTAAATTAAGAATATTTTTTCCAAACCTTTTACTAAGTCCTTGAGATCGAAAATCTATCTCTCCTCTCCTGTGATGTAGTAAATTATTCACATTTGTCAAACTGTTCGTGATATGGTTCGGAAAACAATCTGCATTTCGACACTTAATTAAAAAAGTCTTTCTGTTCCTTAAACGCTGCCAGTTTGGTGTTCACATTAGCCCATTCCTTTAGGTACGACACAAGTAATGGTCCGTATTGGAGTCTGATGTCCTCATAAAAACCCATACTAAAAAGTTTTTATAACTTTTATATTACATCAGCCTAATGTTATAACACAGTAATTTTCATTGTAGACCTTGATAAAGGTGGCAATAACCACCGAAAGCTCGGAATTCAGAATAAATAGTACGCCTTAGCAAAGCTCTATTTTTTATTGACTACCACACCCAAAAAGAAAAAAGTATTTACATATATTTTTTCCAAACTAGTCAAAAAACTTTGGACTACCTTGTCTTTCTTTTAGACATCAGACTCCAATACGGACCATTACTTGGTGTCGTACCTAAAGGAATGGGCTAATGTGAACACCAAACTGGCAGCGTTAAGGAACAGAAAGACTTTTTTAATTAAGTGTCGAAATGCAGATTGTTTTTCCGAACCATATTACGAACAGTTTGACAAATGTGAATAATTTACTACATCACAGGAGAGGAGAGATAGATTTTCGATCTCAAGGACTTAGTAAAAGGTTTGGAAAAAATATTCTTAATTTAGAAATCAAAATTACTTTTGCTGATATTAATCATTTTGAAAATAAGCTAAAAGATCTCCAAGCCAAATCAAAATCTATACTTTAATTATCACACATATGTTGAGTTTAAACGTAGACAACAGATAATTTATAAACAATCTTTTTCATAAAATTAAGAGAACTAATATCAATAAATTTAATAAGTTCAGATTAGATAGTTTTGACAGTATTGATTTCAGTGAGAGTTGGTTTTTAAAAACCTTACAGACTTAGAATTTCCTGTAGAAGTTAAAAAGTTGTTGGCCTTAGGCCCTAAATTCGCTTTGCTTCCTAACAAAAAAGATTTCAAAGTTTCCTCTTTGTTGGCAGACATTGAGAACATTTTAAGACCAATTGAGAATGTCGATAGGACATTCTAAGGTCCAAATGCACTAATATAATCACGAACTTTCTCAACAAAGATGAAAAAGACCACTTTTTAAATAAATACTACATTAAATGCAAAACTTTTTTGAAACATCACCCTGAGATCAAGATTGTTCAGAGCGACAAAGGCAATGTCACTGTAGCAATGTACACTAGGGACTATATACAAAAATGTGAAGACTTATTAACAGACACTAAATATTATAAAAAGTTAAACAACAATCCTGTGTGTACTCTGCAACAAAAGGCTAATAAACTAGTTTCTGATTTGGTAAAGGAGAATCAAATAGATCAATCAGTTGGGAAAACTTTGAAAATTTATAATTCAATTGCTCCTAGATTTTATGCACTTCCAAAAATTCATAAACCTACTTTGTCTATGAGACCAATAGTTTCCTCAATAGGTACACCTAACGGCCCCATAGCAAGTTTTTTAACCAATATTCTCACAGAAACCTACAGTAACAATGATTTCTGCATTCAGGACTCTTTCAGTTTCAGTTCTTTTATTAATAACTTAAAATTACCTATCAATTATAAGCTCGTTAGTTTTGATGTAGTGTCTTTGTTTACTAATTTACCTTTACAAACAATTTTGGTTAGTGTTGAGAAACACTGGGATGACATATCAATGCACACAACTCTTAACTTATCTAATATCAAAAAACTCATTTCTTTTGTTTTTGACTCTAATGTTTTTATTTTTAATGACTGTTACTACAAACAAGTCTTCGGTACTCCAATGG